GCGCTTTGGAGGGCATGGCAAGCAGCAGGCTGCGGGCAGAGACAGACCAGGAAGGGAAAACCAAGAGTGCGGGAAGCACCAGGAATTCTGGGAAAAGTAGTTCTGGTGGCAGACGGATCTCCTAGACACGAGACTCAGCTGACCCTTAGCTTCCGCGCAGGGTTTGCCCAGGACCCCCAACAGGACCAAGTCCCTTAGGTGAGACGGTGCAAGTCGATGCAGATGTGGTCCTATCTGTGCAAAGCCGCCTCCCATTCATTGCTGTACTCTTACCACGGACATTGTCCAGGCGCCACGGTCTCTAGTCAGTGTTTCCGACTCAAAGCACAGGCCTGGCCTAGGAGACGCGCATCCGGTAAGTCTGAGGGACGGGACGCAAACCTCTGCTCCCTGACCACGAATCGCGGCTGACAGCTGGCTGCCCACCACGCGGCTCTCCGGACTCTGCAGGGCCAGCACCGCCTGCTGTGCGTGCCGAGAACACAGGAATAGCACCACGCGGTCTGCCTTTCTGCCGCTGTTATCAGAAACACGCAACCTGCCCCAGAAATGGCAGACGAACGGGGATCCTCCTTCTTCCCCAGGATGGCGTGGGCACAGCTCCCCAGACCCTGCTCTGCAAGGTACAGGTTATGTGGTCATGGAACCACAAAACACAGTTGTATATGTGTGTGTGAGTGTGTGTGTGTGTGTGTGAGAGAGAGAGAGAGAGAGAGAGAGAGAGAGAGAGAGAGAGAGACGTTACTGCTTGTTCACATGCACGGGGGTACCCAGCACAGCAGGAATGATCTGACATCCTGTAGACAAGGATGGGGTTGTATCTCTCCTCTAAGCAGCTGCCAGGGACCCTTTGGGGTGTGGGAGCCACCTTAGTGCACCCCCCATCAGCAGACCCTCTTCGGTGCCCACTCTGTAAGATGATGAACTTGCAGTGGACACACAGCATCTGTGCTGGCACCATGGGTGTGCACACAGCCAGCACCTTCCTGGTGTGCAGGGCGTAGGTGTGCAGGGTGTAGGTGTGCAGGGTGTAGGTATGCAGGGTGTAGGTGTGCAGGGTGTAGGTGTGCAAGGCGTAGGTGTGCAGGGTGTGTGACACTCTGGCAAGCAAAGCAGACGAGAAATCGCCGTCCAGGCACGCGGGGCCTTCCCTGCAGAAGCGCTGGGCTAAGTGCCCAGCACCTGCCCGCCCTGCACCTCACCCACGTCCTGCGAACCCCACATGAGCCGTCACAGCCCCTGTCCGTCCGCTGGGTGGTGAATGGTTGGTGGTTTGTGGGAAAGAGAAAGGAGAGAGAAGAGATGGTAACGATGCAGTTATCCTTTTTTCCTCACACACACACACACACACACACAAGCACACAGGCTTGGTTCCCCAGCCCGTGGCATGTCTGTTTGGCGTTGGACTTAGCGGACGGACTGCACTGGAGAGGCGGCCTCCCTCCGCTAACGCTGGTTTCCATGGCGCTGAGATGCTGTTGAGCAGTGAGCCTGGTCCTGGGTGCGGGGGTCTGGCAGGCCAGGCCGCCTGCTCTGTGCCTCAGGCTCTGCTGGGAGGGCGTCTCCTTATCTCGGGCACCTGCTCTGAGGCCCACCCTCCCGCCGGCTCCTCCCACTTTGAAAACTGTCTGCGTGGGTGAGAGGAGCTGAGCCGCTGAGCCGCACACTGAGAGCAGACCCGTCTCCCATCTCCCCCTCCGGACGGACGCGTAGGCCCGGGTGCAGGGGAGAAGCCGCGGGAGCTCCCTGTGCAGGGAGGGGCTGGGCGCCTCTTTCCAAACGCGTGAGGGACAAGCAGGCCCCGCGAAGTCCGTCAGCCCTGGGCGCTGTCGCATCGCCATTCCCTAGGTGTTGGTCTCAGAGTTTCCTTCCCAGAGTCCCTGAAGCCGACGGCTTCCCAGACCCACCAACGGGACGAACCAAAGACCCGCAACACAGAGGCGGGCGTGAAGGGTCCAGCCTGTCGTGGTGAGGCCGTCCTGGCTGAGGTGGGACCCCTTTCCCTTTCCCTGTTCCTTTTTACCCCCAATATATTTTATTGATTTTTCACAGAGAGGAAGGGAGAGATAGAGAGCTAGAAACGTCGATGAGAGAAACGTTGATCAGCTGCCCCTTGCGCACCCTCCGCCGGGGATGTGCCCACAACCAATGTACATGCCCTTGACCGGATTCGAACCCGGGACCCTTCAGTCTGCAGACCGACGCTCTACCGCTGAGCCAAACCGGTTTTGGCTCCCTGTTCCTTTTGTGAAAGGGACGCCGGGACCCTACTAACAGCCGTGAACCACCAATGGTCAGAATCACCCACCAAACACGCGACATTGAGACCCGCAGCCCGAAAAGGCATCTGCAGGGGAGTCTGTGGGACCTTTTCTTTCCGAGGAACCGCTCTCCGAGGCAGCCACACTCCGTCTGTGAGACCCGGCACCTTCGCTCCACACGGAGCCCGCTGCCCTCACCTGCCCACGCCCACACCTGCCCGAGCCCACACCTGCCCGAGCCCACACCTGCCCACGCCCACACCTGCCCACGCCCACACCTGCCCGCGCCCACACCTGCCCACACTCACACCTGCCCACGCCCACACCTGCCCACACCCACACCTGCCCACGCTCTCACCTGCCCACGCCCACACCTGCCCACGCCCACACCTGCCCGCGCCCACACCTGCCCACACTCACACCTGCCCACGCCCACACCTGCCCACACCCACACCTGCCCACGCTCTCACCTGCCCACGCCCACACCTGCCCCCGCCCTCACCTGCCCACGCCCACACCTGCCCACACCCTCACCTGCCCACGCCCACACCTGCCCACACCTGCCCACGCCCACACCTGCCCACACCCACACCTGCCCACGCTCTCACCTGCCCACGCCCACACCTGCCCCCGCCCTCACCTGCCCACGCCCACACCTGCCCACACCCTCACCTGCCCACGCCCACACCTGCCCACACCTGCCCACGCCCACACCTGCCCACACCCACACCTGCCCCCGCCCTCACCTGCCCACGCCCACACCTGCCCACGCCCACACCTGCCCACGCCCACACCTGCCCACACCTGCCCACGCCCACACCTGCCCACACCCTCACCTGCCCACGCCCACACCTGCCCACGCCCACACCTGCCCTCACCTCCCCACGCCCACACCTGCCCCCGCCCTCACCTGCCCACACCTGCCCACGCCCACACCTGCCCACACCCTCACCTGCCCACGCCCACACCTGCCCACGCCCACACCTGCCCTCACCTCCCCACGCCCACACCTGCCCCCGCCCTCACCTGCCCACGCCCACACCTGCCCACACCCTCACCTGCCCACGCCCACACCTGCCCACGCCCACACCTGCCCTCACCTGCCCACGCCCACACCTGCCCACGCCCACACCTGCCCACACCTGCCCACGCCCACACCTGCCCACGCCCTCACCTCCCCACGCCCACACCTGCCCACGCCCACACCTGCCCGCGCCCACACCTGCCCATAGCTGCCTACACCTGCCCACGCCCACACCTGCCCACGCCCACACCTGCCCACACCTGCCCACGCCCACACCTGCCCACACCTGCCCACGCCCACACCTGCCCACGCCCACACCTGCCCACGCCCTCACCTGCCCAAGCCCACACCTGCCCACACCCACACCTGCCCGCGCCCACACCTGCCCACACCCACACCTGCCCACGCCCACACCTCCCCACGCCCACACCTGCCCAGGCCCACACCTGCCCACACCTGCCCACACCTGCCCACGCCCACACCTGCCCACGCCCACACCTGCCCACGCCCACACCTGCCCACACCTGCCCACACCTGCCCACGCCCACACCTGCCCACGCCCACACCTGCCCACACCCTCACCTGCCCACGCCCACACCTGCCCACGCCCACACCTGCCCACACCTGCCCACGCCCACACCTGCCCACACCAACACCTGCCCCGTGCCCACACCTGCCCACGCCCACACCTGCCCACGCCCACACCTGTTCCGTGCCCACACCTGCCCACGCCCACACCTGTTCCGTGCCCACACCTGCCCACACCCACACCTGCCCCGTGTCCACACCTACCTGTGCCCACACCTGCCCCGTGCCCTCACCTGCCCACGTCCACACCTGCCCACGCCTACACCTGCCCACGCCCACACCTGCCCGGTGCCCACACCTGCCCACACCTGCCCACACCCACACCTGCCCCGTGTCCACACCTACCTGTGCCCACACCTGCCCCGTGCCCTCACCTGCCCACGTCCATACCTGCCCACGCCTACACCTGCCCACGCCCACACCTGCCCGGTGCCCACACCTGCCCACACTCACACCTGCCCCCCCCCCCCCCCCCCCCCCCCCCCAGCCTTATACTCTCTCCTCACCCTTGGAGGGGAGTCCGGACCCAGCAAGTCCCCCATTCAGACATCAGCTCGACCTCAGGACAGACTGGGGAGCACAGGGCCCGTGGGTGCTGACGCTGTCCCCCACCCCCACCCCCCAGTCCTGGACCCTCAGCTGCGCTGCCGGAAGCCGGGACTCTGCAGACTCCCCCTGGAAGGACCGACAGGGAAAACTTGGAGGGGGACCTGGTGCCTGAGGTCCCTCTCCCACCAGATCTGGCGCCTGGAGGACGGACCCGCCGCCAGGGCTGCGCGGAGGGGGCAGATTCCCGCAAAGCCCCTGGGACCGTCTCTCCGCGTCCCCCCTACCCCCACCCCCCATGGCTGCAGCCAGGACCCCGGGGCGGGTGGGAGCCCCAGGAGATCTGCCCCTGTCCCCCCTTCCCCGCTCCATCCTCCCCCCACGGCCCCCCGGCCCAGAGGGAAAGCCCCGCAGGCACCGGGGCCCAGGGCGGGAGCCGGGACCGGGACACGCGGCTCCCCCTCCGCCCCCCGCCCCCCGGAGCCCAGAGGGAAAGCCCCGCAGGCACCGGGGCCCAGGGCGGGAGCCGGGACCGGACCCCGGGCTCCCCCTCCGCCCCCCGCCCCCCGGGCCGCACTCACCGAGGCGCAGCGGCTGCGGGGCCGCGGGCGGGAGCAGCGCGCACAGGACGCAGAGCAGCGCGCGGGGGGCCGCGCTGCGGGGCCGGGGCTGCGGGGGCGCCACGCGGGGCCCCATCGCCGGTTCACGGCCTCGCGCGGCGGGGCCGGCCCGGGCCGCCTCCTGCTCCGGGCTCCTGGCCGCTCCCCGCGCTGCCCGGTCCGAGCGGGAGCCGCGCGTGGGGAGCGGGGACGCGGGGACCGCGGGAAGCGGGGTCACGGGCGCCAGCCCAGCGCCCCGCACCCGACCCGGGCCACCGGCTGGGGTGGCGCCCCGCTCCGGCCCGGGAGGAAAGTTGCGGGGAGACGCGGCGAGGCGGAGGCGGCGCTCCGGCAGGTGAGCGGGTCCCCCCGCGGCTCCCGCCTCCTGTCCGCCCGGACCCCGCACCCGGGCGCACAGCCCCGCGCCCCCAGCCCGAGTCCCACGCGGAGCCGCTCTGATGGGAAACTCGGGCGGAGGGCGGGGCGGGGCTGCGGTGACGCGAGTCTGGGCCGCACCGGGCGCCGCCGCCCGATGGGGACCACGCGGCGCCCCGCTCCCGGCTGCGGGCTGAGCGGGAGGCACTGGTTCCGGCACCAGGGCACGGCCTCCCTTTGGACCGGACCGGACTGGACCAGACCCGCCCCGGACCGGACCGGACAGTCCCGGTGAGCGGCTCGCTGCTCGCAGCCACGTGGCGGGACAGGCTCGGCCTCGCCCTCTCCCCGGGCGCCCAGAGGACACGCCTCCCCGCCGGGAGGAGCTATTTCTGGCTGTGGGTTTGGAGGCTGCGGCTGAGGAAGGACCAGGACGCCTCCCGCGGGAAATCAGCCACTCTCACCGCTTCCGGGCCGGTCCCACCGCACGTGCAGGGGCTTACTAAGCGGGACGCTGCAGAAGGACCGGCATTTCAGTCCATCAGGAAAGCGAGAGGTGTCCACGCCTACAGGAGCCTCAGGGAAAATGTTACTAAATCCGCGATGCAACTGTCCACCCATCTACCCACCCACCTATCCATCCATCCATCCATCCATTCATCCATGTACCCATCCACCCACCCATCCACCCATCTATCCATCCATCCATCCATGCACCCATTCACCCACCTACCCATCCATCCATCCATGTACCCATCCACCCATCCATCCACATACCCATCCACCTATCCACCCACCCATCCACCTACCCATCCATCCACCCATCCACCCATCCATTCATACCATCTACCCATCCACCCATCCACCCATCCACCCATCCATGCACCTATCCACCATCCATCCATCCATTCACCTCCCTCAGGTACCGGCTCCTCCCCAGGTACCAGCTCCTCCCCAGGTGTCAGCTCCTCCCCAGGTATCAGCTCCTCCCCAGGTACCAGCTCCTCCCCAGGTACCAGCTCCTCCCCAGGTACCGGCTCCTCCCCAGGTACCGGCTCCTCCCCAGGTGCCAGCTCCTCCCCAGGTACCAGCTCCTCCCCAGGTACCAGCTCCTCCCCAGGTGTCAGCTCCTCCCCAGGTACCAGCTCCTCCCCAGGTATCAGATCCTCCCCAGGTGTCAGCTCCTCCCCAGGTGTCAGCTCCTCCCCAGGTGCCAGCTCCTCCCCAGGTACCGGCTCCTCCCCAGGTACCAGCTCCTCCCCAGGTGCCAGCTCCTCCCCAGGTATCAGCTCATCCCCAGGTGCCAGCTCCTCCCCAGGTACCAGCTCCTCCCCAGGTGTGGCATTGAGTTCTGGACACTCTGGGAGAGAACTGACCAAACAGGAAATCCACAGAGAAGGGGGTCGATCTGGACTTAGGGTGCTTATGTAAGGGTTGAGGAGACCAGGAAGACTTAAGGGGCACATGTTGGCTGTCTTTAGAGATTTGAGGAGTTACTGGGTTAAAAGAAAGTAGCCCAGCTTGTGTGGCTCAGTGGTTGAGCATGGACCCATGAACCAGGAAGTCACGGTTCAATTCCCTGTGAGGGCACATGTCCGGGTTGGGGGATTGATCCCCTGTAGGGGGCATGTAGGAGGCAGCAGATCCATGATTCTCTCTCATCATTATGTTTCTCCCTCTCCTGTTCTCTCTCTGAAATCAATAAAATCATATATACAAACCTGGGGCCTGGTACACGAATTCATGCACCAGTGGGGTCTCTCAGCCCAGCTGTGCCCTCTCACAGCCCGGGAGCCCTCAGGGGAAGTCTGACTGATGGCTTAGGCCCGCTAGCTGTCCGTCAGACACCCTTAGCGCTGCCTCGGAGGTGGGAGAGGCTCCCGCCACCTCCACTGTGCTCGCCAGCCGTGACCCCGCCTGGGTTTCTGGCTGAGCGATGCCTCCCCTCTGGTAGCACACTGACCACCAGCAGGCAAATCCTCACTGAGCGTCTGCCCCTGGTGGTCAGTGTGCGTCATAGCGGCCGGTCCTGGTCCTGTTAGTTAAATGAGAAAAAATAAGAAAGGTTCTATTCTGAGGAAGTTGGAGAAGCACAATTTCACTTTGCTTGGGGGAGCATTTCTGCATCAGGAAAGTGTTAACAGGTCTGACCTGCTTCAGAGAGGAGGCAGACGCTCTGCGTAGCCACCGCTTATTCCGTGGTCTGTAACATGGATTATTCCGTGGATTATTCCATGGTTTATTCGGTGGTTTATTCGGTGGTTTATTCTGTGAGCACGGGAGCGCCTGCTCTCTGGGAGTCCCTGCACCCAGCCCTGCACCCAGCAGGAATGTGGGTGCCGTCACTGGAATGAGGGTGTCACCACCATGGGACTCAGGTAGTAAAGAAGTGGGATGAGTTTGCAAAAAACAAACAAACAAAAAAGCAAACAGCACCCTGGGTGTGAGGGAAAAGAGGAATTTAACCTCGTTCAGGAGTTTGGGAAGGTCTGGATAACGGGGTGAAACGTCAAACCTCAAAGAACAGCTAGTTCCTAGGGGATCCGTGAGTATTTCTGAACACGAGACTAAATATAAAGCTCGTTAGAGTTTAAAAATAAAACAGAAAGATTTGGGTTAAGCCTATTCTGTCGTCTTCTGTTCCTGGATGCATCCAGGGCCAGTCGATAGTAAACATCTGGAGGCCACAGCCCAGAACTGGGTCAGCGCTTCAACGACCTGTGTGTGAGTCCTGGTTTCACCTCGTCGGGGCTGGCAGCCGGCCAGACCCCGTTATCTCCCCGTGGCAGGGACAGCCGTGTCCGTCCACTCCTCCCCATCCGCGGGCACCTGGGAGCCTGTCCCTGTGAGTTCTGTGTAAACACGCGGCCGTGTTCAGCCACCAAACGTGAGAGGACGTGGGCGCCCCGTTTCTGGACGAAAAGCAGGGCAGGGAGAGGTCACGTGGCCTCAGGGCCTGTGGCCGGAGTGGCCCCGGAGGCCACACGTTCTGGACGGAGGAGCAGGACCCAGCCCCTGCTGGACAGGAGTGGCTGGGAGCAGCTCTCAAACAACAGCCCGGCAGCCACTCAGTCACGAGACAGTTCTGTGTCTTTTTTTTTCTTCTTAATTCTCGCCCCAGAGGAGAGCATCGGCCTGCAGATGGGAAGGTCTCGGGTTCGAGGCCGGTCCAGGGCAGGTGCCTAGGTGGCAGGTTCCCTCCCGGGCTGGGGCCCTGGTCGGGGCGCGTGCAGGAGGCAGCCAATCACAGTGCTTCTCTCACATGGACGTTTCTCTGTCTTGCCCTCTCTCTCCCACACGCCCTGAAAATCAATCCTCGGGGGAGGATTCAAACAGCAACAATGACGAAGGAGTGTGTGGCCGCCTTAGTGACTCCCTGTGTCTCCTGTGAGATGCGGCAGAGCCGGACGCGGAAACGTGCTTCCTGGTTAAAATGCTGCCCTCCTGGGCTCCGGCGAGGGCTCGCGGCCGGTCCCCGTGAGGGTGAGTGGTGCTGCAGTGACCGTTGTGCCACTCACAGGAACGGGGTGCCGTCCATCTCGGCACCTCGGTATTCCATCGCCCGGAGTGACTGTTCGCAGCTCTCGGTTCCCGCTGTTCACGAGCCTCTTCGAAGAAGATCGGACCACGCATACCGGCCTCTCTCCTCTCCCGAAGCTCCCCGCCACGCCAGGCGGCGGCAGGCAGCCTGCTGTCCTCCGAGCGCGGCAACCTCACTCAGGCACCGATCCATGTACAGTCACCGTTCTCAGATGACGATCAGCTAAACAGAAAAATGCCTCCGGACAAAGGAAGGAGCCCAAACACCGTCACGGAGCGTTCACACGTGGCGAGGGGGCGTGTGGCCAGCCCCGTGGCCCAGGCGGTGTCAGCCCCTCGTCGCTGGTTTGGGGTCAGGATCTTCCGTTCTTGAATACATTTTTTTTTTTTTTTTTTACATTTTTTGATCCTCGCCCGAGGGTATGTTTTCATTGATTTTTAGAGAGAGCGGAAAGGAGAAGGAGAGAGAGAGAAACACTGATGTGAGAGAGACATATCAATTGGCTGCCTTCTACATGCCCGGAGCCTGCCACTGAGGTGCGTGCCCCTGACTGGAATCGAACCCGGGACCCTTCAGTCCGCAGGCCTATGCTCTATCCACTGAGCCACACCGGTTTCAGCAGGAGCCCCCGGTTTTATCTTTTGCTCAGAACTTGCCTCTGAAGCCCGGACTCAGGAGGCCTCGCCGTGCCAAACCCCCGGTTCTGTGCCCGTGGCGGCCCTGCCAGGGCCCCGTCCACCCCGCCTCGTCTCACGTGCGAACCTCCGTCCACCCACTGTTCGCGGGGAGACGGGCGTGTTCTCGTCCTCCCTCACTTTCTCTCCCCGTCCTCGGTTAGCGTCCACGGCCTCGTCGCCTGCACACCCGCCTCCCGGCCGGCCGAGTCTCTGCCCCTCGCTGCTGCCCAGGCCGTGGCTCTGGCCTCGGGCCTCCGGCTTCGGCCGGAGAAGTGAGTGTGGAAGCCGCACAGGCTGTGGTGTGTGTGCAGCAATGTCCCTGGATTTGCCCGCTAGATGGCGCCAGAGCCCCCGCCAGGGGCACCAGCCACAGGAGTCTGCCGGGGACTCAGCGGCCTCAAGGACTGTCACCGGGGGCCTCGCTCCTGCCCAGGTCCCCGTGGCTTCCATCTGGCCGATGACGAGAGACTCCTCAGGGCGCCTCCGGTGCCTCTCGCCTCCTCC